GTGAAACGCCAGTTAATCGAATTCGTCCAGACACTGTTGATACTTGATTTCCTCCCGCTGCAGGTCTATCGCATGGTCTTATTGGCGTGCGCGCGCGCTTACACGACGACCGGTGGACCGGAAAATAAAATCCACGGCTTGCGATTGGAGTGTCGTTGATATTAAATAGACAACAATGATGACGGAAAAAAAAACAGATTGTCGGCTGATTAAAGAGAAAAAAAATCTTCCGAGAAAATGGCGTTGTACTATACACGCGCGCGTTGTAGCGGCAGGTGGAGCGCAATCTCCCAAGCGTATTAGACTCTTTTAGACGATGGGTTGCACCATATTAGATATTTATATATTACACTTATAGGTACGCTATTGAATCGTCATCGTCGAATAGATCAAAAAGAAGATTAAAAAAAAAAAAACAATAAATCTCGTTCACACATAATAACTTTGAGTTTGCCTTTACGTGAGTCGAGCATTGTTTTTCTAGCTGCTGTAGCTCGTGGAAATCACATGTACAACAGTCGTCCAAATAATTCGTTTATCGTGTCCATTCGTGCCTCAGTATGATGTTTATATACGTAAGACGTTGTTAGTGATAAATAGGATAACAGCATTTCCAAATTATAAGAAATTAACTTATATTGGTGATTTTTCGAGCACTATGTTTAGCCTCCTTATATAGAGTCATTTGCATGCTCACCCCGATTTTTCTTTTAATAAGAAATTTATTAAAATTCTTCATTTAGCATTTTGAAATATACTCGAAGAAACGTTTTMAAGTCATCGCATTTTTTCGTACTACTTAAGGAGTGTATCCTGTTGCGATAAAAAAGTTTGTTTTTCAAATGAGAAACCCTGTTTTTCACTTTAAATTATTTAATGGATACAGTTTTTTTTTTTTAAATTTTGATGCACTAATCACAAATTCAAATAAGAAACTAATTTTCTTAGTTGTTATAATATTTATAATCATAAGAATAATAGTCCTTAAAAATGGTTTAAAATAAAATAATATATATATATATATACAATTTATTTAAAATTGAATCTAGTATTTGTTATATACTTGGGCCATTTTTACAAATAATTAACATTAATGATTAAAATTTTCAAATAACTTAGCCTCCATATCATATAAAGTATAAACTCTTACTTTGGACCTTTTGTCTTTAGAACACAAAATTATAATTCAAAAACTACTGTTATGAATTTTGATTTTGATACGTGCATTATTGGAGAAAAAAGGGGATGAGCATATTTGTTAAATCACTCTGGCTATCCCTAAATAATACATTTATTGAAATTTGAGTTTTAGGAATTTTAAAAGTATGAAAATGAATATCTAGATTTTTGTTGAAAATAAGAACAATTATTTTCTAATTTTACAGACAAATGTTAGTAGTTCGACAAATGGTTATTTTGAAAAAAAATGTWTGTATCTAAATTCAAACTCAATTTATTTTACTTAATTTTTATAAATATAAGCTATTTGCGCAAATCTTAATGATAAAATTAACAAAATAGATTATACACTACATTAAGTACTTTCTAGGTCATGATTGTATTAGTATACAATCATATATCAACATTTAAATATAATTTATAAAAATCTTATTAGCCGAATAATAATATCGTATTTTTAGAAATAATTAGGTTTTATAACGTACCATAAAAT